AAACCAATCTTGGAAGAGAGTGCCAGTCATCTGTGCCTTCTTATTGGAGTGCCATATTACCCGGTACAGGTTGCCTGGTTTTGATGTGGCCCTCAAAAACCCTGGGATTTTGTGAGTGGTACACAAGCATGAGCTTTAACTTGAAATCTCTTACTGTATTACCCCCAACAGAAGAGTCAAACAATTTTGGAAGCCTTTAACCCTGGAGCTGTTTTCTCCTCAGTTGAAATAAAGGTTTTGGCAGGCATACACTTCCAAAAGAGCCGGTTTCATCAACATTATACACCTGCTGTGGTGTGTATCCATCAACCCCAATTATTTCTTTTAATTCAGCAGAATTATTTTTGGCAGCCTCAGTACCAGCAGCAGCACCTACCATCTTGGTGTTGAGTAGGTTTGAACCTTTTTTGAAATGTTCAAACCACCCTTTGTTGGCATTAAAGGGATTTTCAGCTGAGGTGCCACCTTCTTCCTGCCTTAAATTTGTGTAGACTCTTAGCCTTCTCCTGAATCACCATTGTGTTAATGGGCACGTTCTGCTTGATCTGGTCCTCTATCCATACACCAAGAAGCATTCCATATTTATCATTACATTGCTTTGATGAAATTAAAGAGTATGGGCTGACAGTGGAGTAGCAGCCTGAGCACTAGCCCTAATTTTCTCTTTGTTATCACTGATTGTACTGATATTGAAGGTAGCCACGCCCCAAATTTAGGCAATGGAGGCCAGTTTCTCCCCCTGGTCAAACCTCCTTAACACATCTAATTTTATCTTTAAGGTAATACCTTTTTGTGCTCTCTTAGCACCACTGCTAGCACTAGCATTTGATGACCTCTTTCCACTCATCTTGAACAGTACAATATCTGTAGTACAATCCAGAAAATGAGAGACAGCAGAACATTGGCTGGAGATTCAAGAAGACATAAACCACTCTTTTTTTTCTGTTGTTGTGGGACCGTTGGCACCTTTGTGCTACCACAGATGCATTCGCACATAATATTTAATTTTTTTATTTTTATAAAAATGATAAAAAATTGCAATATTTTTTTAAATCTTCAAAATTCCGTAAGGGCAAATTTTTTTTCGTAACCTGAAATTATGGTCAAATCTCAAAATTACATGACCCAGGGGGATGCCTGTATTTATAGCTACTAGTTGCCAAGTCATATAAAATTAATTATTCTACAGATCTAAACCCATAGGAGCCCTTAGCAAAGCCTAAGCACCCCTGGCATAACATGACATAAACTACATTAGTGACCAATTAGCGTAAGACAAGTGATGATGTAATTTACGTCAGTGACTATTAAAGAGGTAAAGAATATATATGTGTAAAGCTAATTTTTTGCTGAAGAATCTCACTTAACCCTTAAGCCCCGGGTTAGGGTGCTGCTGGCTGTAACCCCCCTCCCTCCCCCACGGGGATAAATCGAGAAATATCAACTAAAAAAAAAAAAAAAGTGGCGAGAATAGGCAGACATTTTGGAACGTCACACGGGGCGCGCTGGTCGGATGTTCTGGAACGTCACCCAGGGCCTAAGGGTTAAATAGTCATTACTAGAGGATGCACATGTAATAAGGAATATTTATATTTGGTAAAATAATTGACATGAGCAAGTAGTTCACTTGCTTGTGCAGTACAGTAGAGTACAGTACTGCATAATGAGTTTCCCTTGAGGGGAGTCTTAGTTTGTAAGGCGAGAGATGGTCAGGACAATGTGTCCAGGGGGAGAGTAAGCTATTTTGCCTTTGCTTGAGGTACAAAAGTCTTGATTCATAAAAAAATAGTTGTCCAATATAAATTGTAATGTTCGAAGACTAAGATGAGAAAGAAACTGAAATAAATAAAGAGAGAATTATAGCAACTCCTCTGTACTGTACACATCCTACAGTGTAAATAAGAATAAAATTACTCTAAAAAATAGGTAAAGAGACTAGTTAAATGTAACTAATCTTGAGGGCAATCGGCTAATCATGAGGAGTGCAGAAACTTATTCTCATGGTCCATATGGATTCCACCATGTATAATATACAGTACTACAGTATTACAACTGTCCAGATTTAGAGCATGTTTTCCCAGACTACAAACTTACAAAGAATAATATAGTGATACTGTAAAAAGTTCTCAGTAGACCACTTGTGGATAACAGTGCAATGATAAGGGAAGAAAAAATGTGCAACTGGGATTAATAAATGTGAGGTGGAGTAATGTACAGTACTTACAATGACACAGTTCTTCCCAATGTAAACATAGGATCCTACCACAACAACATTGACAATTGATCATTCAGCAATAAACACACTATCACTAATATGAAGAGGAAAGAGCTCCATCCCGTGAAAAAATATCAAATATCAATTACGTAAAGTATTAAGAAATTTTCTCTAAGGATAATTATACTGTGAAGGAGCAAAGAATGGTTATGTTCACACTGTAATGTTCAGTTTTCATTATACAGTACTGTCCTCTACTTTACTTAAATAGTAACTGTAAGAAGGTAACTTACCCTTTGCTGAACTTCTTAAATGGTCTTCTAATGACAGCTTTGGATGATATGACGCACAGGCGGCCGACTCGAACGTTGGCTAAATCCCCCCGAATGATGACGCCAATAAGTACAATGACTTTTCCACTTAGCACAATGCTCTGAGAGCTGCATAACACATTGCCACAATTCACACGGTTCCTTGTGGCCAAAGGAGTTCTGGTTATTTTAATACGGAGGAATAAATACTGAATTGTACTGTACAGTATTTGCTACAGATGACTCCTTACATAATGTGTGAAACTAAATACTGTTAAAAATTACTGATGTTTAATTTTTGTTGAGACCAAGATGGAGTAACTGTTCACAAATCATTTCTCTTGGACAGTAACATAAGCACAATTAATAGTATAAATGCTGACTTTGGCCCAAACATTATTTAACCATGAAGTAACAATATACTGTACTGTAATTGCTTATGTTTGGTTAGGATCACGTCAGGTAAGACTACATTATATTAATGTTCTGTTAAGGTTATATTATGTTAAAGTTATGTTAGGTTAACTTTATATTCTGTTAATGTTATACCTGTAGCTTGTTAAGTATTAATGTAACCTGACAGGTCAAAATTGTTCAATGTTTCAGTGAGATCTTCTACTATATGTACTAATTCCATTCTCCAAGTTCCAACTCTATTGTGTAAATACTGTATTGATATATGATGCAATCCACAAACACAACTTATATGTTTATTTAGAGTTATTATACATGTGATGCAGTCTGTGTACACTAGGGATACATTTTAAACATGTGCACATTTTTGTTGTTAGTGGATGGTGGTATTCTGTATGATTGGGTCTCCTGTGCAAATATGTTTATAATTATTATATACAATAAAACATATTGTAATGTAATTGTTTCATTTAACTCCATCTTAATTAATTTATATATGTACAGTAGACATGATGTAGTATAGTAATAAGTCTGCAATAAGCTTGAAAAAAAAAAAAATAAAATATTAAGTACACTAAAAACAACTGTGGGAACTAGCCAATCACATTGCTGAGCGTTGAACAAAATCCATTCAGACAAAAACTCCATAGGACAAAATCCCTCTAGGATAAAAATCTAATCAAACCTAACAACTTTGGGAACTATCACGATTAAAAAATGTTTGAGTTTAACCTACCAAACAGTCAGTGTCAATCTCTCTTTCTTACCAACAATTCCTGTATATATGGGTGTTGGCCTCCATGGTAAACAGTTATATGAGATACAGTATTCTATAGAATGTTAAATGTCTTATTTCTTATAGAATAAATAAAATAAATCAACTTTCCCTAACTTGTATACTGTAATAATAATTAGCCCGAGTTCCCACCTAAAAGTACAGCTCCTCCCCGACTTACGATGGGGTTAGGGACCCAAATCCAGGTCTTAAGTCGAAATGGTCGTAAGTCGAAAATGCTTAAATAATACATAGAAAATCTAAAATGGGTGTCTCTTTTTCTTCTCAGCACCACAAAACTTTCAATTTTAAGCTTGCCAGCCATTTTAAAGTGAATTACAGACGAAAATTTTGTCTGTGTACTTAAATTGGGACTCGAAAATACTTAATTTAACAAAATTTTGGTACGACTGAGGCAGGTTGTAATTGCGGGTGGTCGTAAGTCGAGTCGGTCGTAAATCGGGGAGGTGCTGTAGTGCTATGCCGAGGCAAATTTAGTGTTGTAATATTTGTGAACTAGGTGCTTTGATTATTTGCTATTCCAAGCAACAGTTATTTTGACAAGATGTGAGAAATTTTCTTGTATACTGTATATTGATGTATTACTTATGTAAGAATTTTCCAGAATGTATTGCATGATTTTTTATGGTTTACTTACATATTGTAAGCCTAGATTATTCTAGAACCCTTCAGGCATATCTCGTTCAGACCTGCAATGCCTGGATGTTGCTAGAGTGCTCTAGGTATCTGACGAGCCATATACAAACATCCGTGAGTTGCCTAGGGAGTGGGTCGAGTTTCTGCTCAGAGTGAGAAGAACAAGCCAAGTGACAGCTAAAGAAAATTATTGTTCAAGCACTGTGAATTATTGTGAGCGATATAAATTGATAACATGTTACGAATATTATTATTTGAAGTATGAAACCAAATATAAAACTTCGGAGATACTGGATCTGTATAATAGAAAATAAAACTGTACAGGAGTATGATGGAAAGAATACAGGGCAAGTAGATTTTGATCCTGGAAAGGGACTACTGCCCCTGCCCCCACTAGGTTCTTTTTGGGGAGGGGGGCAGAGAGGTGCCTTGATAATAGATAAGTCTTCTTGCTGTATCTTGGAAAATTATGTTGTAGAATATTAGAGGATGAACTATTTTCTTCTAAGCAATATTATAAATTGTAGGGTTGAAGGGCGATACAATACTCTCTCATTTTCAGCTATTCATTTACATTCAGGCAATGATATAAATTTGAAGCAAAGAGGGTTTTTATAATACGTCTTCATGGCAGCAAATGTTTATTTAACAAAATCTAACATTTAATTTTAGTTGAGTTAATAATGAACTTGAAATATTTCCAAACTTTTCACTTTGCCTAACAGTTCATGCAACAGCTCATTTATAATGGACAAAACACTAGGTACATATAATAACAGCAACAAATAATAAACTACAGAAAGAGAACTTCATTATAAAGCAGATAATATAAACTTATTGGGGTGCTCCCTGCTGGCCACCCACCACCAAACTAACCATAACTAGGTATACAGTCCAAGGAGATTGACAAACAAATAATGGTAATTTACATGCATTTTGTTTAAACCTAAGGAAAAGCAACATACACCTGCCTCAGACCAACAGCACTTCTGAACATAACTCTTAGGATTATTCTAATTTCCATTATCATTATAAATTTATAAAGGTCATTCATCACACCATACTGTACTGTATAATATAAAAACACAAAAATACTTTCAATGCAGAAGTACTGATGGTCATAATTAAGAGGTATAGCTTTCTTTAGTCATGTTTACCCCGCCATTAAAGTACAAGAGGAATGAGACAATACAGTAAAGTATCTAACACATACAGTATACTCTAAAGTGACTATAATGTCACAAAATATTGCACTTGGTGTTTCTGGTGCATAGTGTTCTGTCACATCATTGCTGACTTACCTAAACATTGTCATCATTCACACCTGACTTAAGGGACTCGCATGACCTTATCACCGGGGTGTGCTCATCCTAGCCCAGTTTACAAGAAAAGTTACTGGGCAACCTTATAATAGTTAAACTGAAATACTGTACTAACATTGCACTTTAGTAGTACTCATATACAACATGAACAAGAAGATAAGCTAAATAGAAAATAAGATATTGAGAACAAAATAAGTCCTCCTTAATTCCAGCAACATGATGAAACTTTGAAAATTCAGATGAGTTTATGTTAAGAGTTAAAAGCAAATTCGCTTTAATATAATTTGTGGTGAGGGAAGTTTTGTCCAGGTATCCATAATATCCTTTATTAGTAGTATTTAATTTTGATTTAAATGTATCCACTGATTAATATTTGCAATTAAATTAATATATCTGAAGTTAAAAACCCAGTTTTGTTATGCAGCATTAGAAATAAATACAGTAATGTACACTACTGCACTATACAGAAATACATACATGTATCTTAACAATACTCACTACTTAATTCAATGGTCTTTTAAAGTTGCAAAATCTAACATTTAGACTATAGTAATAGTGAACTTAAAATGATATTACTTACAAAGATACACAACAAATACAAAATGCTGAATATAATTCACTTGTGGTAAAGTGAGTCACTGTAAAGTGCCTTATGTAATAAGGCAACTTGTTTTGAAATTAATAAAAAAAATAAACTAAGATATACAGAACACACACAACATAAGAGCCAACTGGTCTTCCACTAATAGGATAATGTGGTCTTCCCAACCTGAGAATTTGTTCTCTTAGTTTCTTAAGTCCTCTCACCTGTTTTATTTAGCAAAAAACAAATATATGTTACACATGTACTGTATATACACAGGCACCCAGCTCTGGGTACACAGGTATTAATAAAAAAATCTATGGTTTTATACTATAACTCTTAAGAGAACCCACTAGCTGGTGTCTGCTAAGTATCAGAGGAACCAGCACCTGTTAGGCCACCTACATCATAGCAGGGGAGAGCTTGTATGAATGACAGAGATAATAATATGAAAGCATCAGTCAAAGTAACATCATCTGTTGTTCAAAGTAACTTCATTTATAAGTTAAAGTAATTTCATCTGTAAATCAAAGTAACATCATCTGTAAGTCACAATATTATCATCTACAGTCACTGACAAATACTGTAGTGAAGAAAAACAAAATATCATAATTAATGCACCAAACATTATAAAAGGCTACCAGACACCTAACATAAGCCAACTTACACAGGGAAAAAATAGAGGTGATTCTACATACTGTACCATTATGAACTCTTCAACAGCAAATTAATTCTGTGCATCACTAACTTGAAAGCAAACCTGATTTGTAATAAATATGTCAGACTCAGGAACCTAGTATCTTGTCCAGAGGAAAACTTGACCACAGCTTTCCTTAGTGTGTATATCTGTCAGAGGCGTGCAAAGTACTGAAATTTGTTACTCATGTTAAACTACAAATAATTTGACAATCAATTAATGTACTTAAATTGAAGTAAAGTATCACTCAAGAAATATACTTCAGTAAGAGTAAAATAGTTCAAATACTGTATACTCAAGTAGAAAAGGTAAGCTCACAAACATAACATCGATAATATATAAACAATTCATTAGAGAATGAAGTACACATATGACAAACAAACTTCATTAGCAACAATGGAACCAAATAGCTCACTGTCTGTTTCTTCAACTTAGATAATTGTTCAGAGTATGGTCAAGGAGGGCCAGCCCTCTCAGCAATAGAAGCTCCATTTGACCTTTTCAACCCACTTATCATCTTCAGCATTTTAACCAGTTTATCTAAGACTGAGTTTGCCATCCACTCAGTGTTGATACCACACCATACTTTTGTCTTCTTTTTTGGTGGAGTACTGTACTATCTCCACTGTTCTGTATCTTGGGTTCTCTGCATCACTCATTGCTTTCCTATTTACAACTAAGGTAAAAATATCCACAAAATCCAGAAAATATCTGTGCAGCTTCATAAATCACGGAACACTGTTCCACTCAGTACTATCGCTTTATGTTTGTTTGAAGGCAAAATAAAATTAATACTGTACTAAGCAAAGAATACAGAGCATGTCTGGCAGGAACCAAAAACCCTGGAAATATGTCACTTGACTCAGCTAGAGAGAGAGATGTTTAAGTCTAGTTACTTCACTACTCCACACCTCTGGTATCTGTGCGTGAAATTTACATCATAATCATGCATTTGCATTAGCTCTCGATTTATTTTTTTTACTGACTGTGAGCTGATTTATAAATTTTAATATAAAGATAAGATTGTGTTTTCTTAACTTTGAGTGAGTTACTTTAATGGCGTTTCAAATATATAGATGTGAGTGTATGTGTGATTAAATTTTAGTAATTATTTGTTTACTAGACCTTGTGCACTGTCCTATGTAACAAAATTTTACAAGAAATATTTCTACACAATCAACATGTACTATACTGCATTTTGTAAAAAATTATATTGTACGTAATTCACAGAGTAATAGAGATGGTTTGGTGCCATAACAATAAAAATAAATAAAAAAAACACCATCACATACAGTACAGTACTTCAATAACACTATCAGTACAATACAGTGGTTTAATATAAATGATACAAATTAAAAATCCAGAAGCTGATGCAAGATACAGTACAACCAGAGCAGATAATATCTTTACAGTACTGCACATGTACAGTATTGTAACTTTATTAACAATAAACAATAAAAATCTGGTAAAAATAAATAAGATATGAACCCAATACCATGGTACTGTATGACAAAAAGCATGTACTAATCCATTCACTATTATGGGGTACCTATACTAAACATATAATATAAAGAACTTGTGGCATTAGGAGCCAGATCATTACATTTCTGGCACCATTTCCAAAAATATAGAGAAAGCAATACAAAAGGAACTACTGTATATTTTTGAGTCAACAATCAGGGCTTTTAGTCAGAAAAAGAAATACTGCACCTTTAAAAACAATGATCTCTTTTAATCTCTACAAATTATTCGTATCACGAGATGTATGAAACAGTTTCTTGATCATACACTTAAAATAAAGAGAGCACTGCCTGTACTACGGGTGCAAATGCTCATACGGTTACCGAGATGAACACAAAACTTGAACAGGCATTGACAACATGCCAGGAACTAATTATGTCTGAGGATGCTTGAAATCACACAGAAAATGGTATTTTGTTTAAATTCGGCAATTCCAAATATTATGCAAATCCACGTCAAGTCCGTATCATGTCTATAAAATAAACACCTATGCTTGACTATTTTACTACACTACCGTACGATGTGTTTCAAATTGATCTGACCACATAGTGACACATAAGGTGTTTTGAAAGTTAATCTAAAAAACAAAACAGCATACCAGGCATCTTCTATTATGACAGTAAAAAAGCTTACAAAAAGAAAAGCATATGTGAAAATAAGCAGAGCATAAGTACATTATAAGTGTAGTGTGGAATTTTCTCATTACAGTATTCTCCATATCTAATATGAACCTCCATTCATTCTTCACAATAATATCATCACAAACTAAAAACTTATAATTCTTAATTTGGTGTCAGTCACTGCAAAACAAATGTGCAAGAATCAAAAGTGTCCTCAAGTCCTCCACATGAAACCCAGTGCTCAATTCAGTCCATACCATAAATAGTTATAGTGTAATTATTCTGGGTCTCAACAATTTTAGGGAGGCTATTGCACTAAAACATTCATGACAACGGACAGCACGAACAAATACAACCTAGCCTAACAATCCTGTACAAGGTACTTACTAATTTTAAGGCTAGGTTTCAATAGATCATGATCTTGCTGTTGTCTCCCTTGGGAATGGCAGATTGAGAGAAAGAACATCACAGCTGTATTTCAGCCAACATCTTCAAGGACTATGAAATGTTTTAGATACACATTTTTTAATAGACGACAAAAAAATTAACTTATTAAAAAAAATTATCATCATCACAATATTACATACCAAGCAACAATCGAGACATTACTTCACTCGTGACAAGCACCACACAGTATTTAATATACAAAGTGTTGTCTTGACACTAAAAAATTACAGCACTCAATAACCAATGTCCATTACGTTATTTGATATTAATGATTGTAGATACAGTATCACCTTGTTAACATTTTCAAAATGAATGCTAATTACCAACTTGATATTCAAGTTGGGATTCATATAAAGTGATAATAGAAAATGTCTACTGTTTTAAGAAACATTCACACTTTGCACCTTATTTAAATATTTTGCTACAAAATAATAATGTTTTGTACATAGTAAATCCTTCTGCAAATTTTTGACGATATAGCATATCAAACTGGATATGTCAGCTTGATCCCTTGGAAACAAGAGCAAAAAGATCATTGTAAATAGAGGGATGAGAAAAAATGTTATCAAACTGGCAGCATATTTTGCCATATGAAATCACAGACATGTATACTCACCATAAAAAGTTCTCTTAACACACTAAGGGTCATACAATAAGACAAAAGTAGGAGGAGAAATCTGAACATTGCACTCAGAGGAAGTTTAATTGCAAATTAAATGACTTCTTTTCACCTGTAAATATTAAAAAGACGAGTAACATATATTATTATGAAATATCGAGAGCCATTTCACAACCAGGCATACCACCAACCATTCTGAGATGACACGAGCAATAGTGCTTATTCCGAAATCTGTTGTGCCCAGCTGTTCGAGAACTTTTTCTGGAGAATGTACATCACTGTGTAAATATTTTTGTAAACTTCACGTATATAAAATGAATTATCTTCTTAAATACATGTAACTTGAACTTGAAACATGGAAAACATGTGACAAATACATAACTGTGTAACTGTATATTTTCAGCCTTCTGGCTGCCAAGCTCTTTCAATAAACCATTAATTATTATTATTATTATTATTATTACTACAGCAACTACTCTTCCAGCCTCTTCTAACATAGTCAATATTTGTACCGTGTTGAAAGGTGTCACAAATACGTAAACCCAATCAGTGTCCTACATGAATGACTGCCTCTTAAACTGTCATCATCCTACCTAACAAGAGTATTACCGTTTACTGCATTGACATGTTGCCCACAGCCATATGTGACCTTCAGCCGACAGAGACTTGAATTAGGTGCTTCACAATGTAGCTAGTTATAACTTATATCCACACTGTCTCATCAAAATATATGTATTGATACAAGAGTTATACCTCACACAATGAAAAGTTTACCAGCTCCTAAACATTATATCTGTACCATAGTGTCTGTTTTCAATGGGCGTGCTAAAAAAACCTTATCTTTCCACAAAACACAATAACAATGAAAAAGAGAATATAGGTATGAAACAATTATTCTTTCTGCATAAAAAAAGATTGATTTATCATTAGACTCAGGTTAGCTTTTAGTCCTTGTTGTTGAGGTCTTTACTCGGTGGTTCTTAATCTTGGGGTCCAACTCCACATGGGGTCATGAAACATTATTACTGGGGTGGTCCAACGAATTACCCAAAAGTACCCAAATGTACCCAAAAGTAACCAAAAGTATATTAAATCAGGGTAAAATCTTAACGAATATATGTTTTACATCAATAAAACCTGATTAATAATGTTTTCATTGAAATGAAGTCAAAATAAGAAATAATAAACAGCAAAAAAATGCAAAATTCCAAAGAGTCACCTATCCAAAATGGAGATATAATTACCGATGTTTCTGTTACTTTGGGGTATTTAACATAGCTGTAGGATTTACTTTTCGTTAGGTTAGGTAAGTGCATCACGATGGATCTGAGTTATCTCCCTTGTTCACAAACTCTTTGGAATTTAGCGTTAGCCAATACTAAAAGTTTTTCGCTGTTTATTATTTCATCTTACAAATTATTTTTACAAAATTACACTAAAAATAATATTAAACATGTTTTGTGTATGTATAACAGATACTCATTAAGATTTTACCTTTATTTGCTATACTTTTGGGTACTTTTGGGTAATTCGTGGCTCTCTTACTGGGGTACACAATGGAACATGGATAAAATGAGAAAAAATTGAGACCCATTGAATCTTCCACTGTAACATACAACAGACTTAATCAATTGATTACACCAGCTATAACAAATTTTAAAGGTGCATCATATACAAACACATGTTATGCAGCTGACCTTCATGCACTAATGAGTAGTGCTCCAAGATTAAACCAAGTGGTAAATTTGAAAGCAATCCAACTTCCCACTGAGTGACATCCTCTGCTACTTCTTTGTCAGTAGAGTAAATTGCAGACACCTGTAATAAGTATGCTTTCATTATCTAGATAAAAGTTTTATATATTTGGTGAAATTCTTACTCACAAAAGGGTTGGAAAGGTATGTGAGTGAGGACCTCTGGTCTAGTGTAACATAGAATATCACAAAGCCATTAATATTGACTACCTATTACGGTATTGAAACAGTACACAAATTACATATTACAGTACTACTGTACTTTATATCAAAAGTAGAACTCATTTAAAACTTTCACACATTTTTGGATAGGAACTATAGACAGCAATAAGGGGAGTGACTTGTAATATAATGTGGGTTTAAATTACCTCTCTTGCTTATCAGAAATACTATACATATACTAAAAATGTTTCCTTTTCCTTGGCCACACTAAGATGCCATGACCTTTGTTCTGACTTACTACAGTACTTGAAAACTGTAGTGTTTAAAAACTACAGTAGCGCAATTATTAACAAAGAAGCCCTGAGAGTGAAAGCACACAAGCAACTGCATATCATATATCAATACAATTCCTGTACTACTGTATTCTCCTCGTTAAATTGGGTAAAAAAAATTCATTACACTTGCACTTGGAACAGAAACAGTTGACAAAAACAGTCATAAGTAAAACAAAATACCTGGTATATCTCCATAAATGTTGTTCAAAAGGGGCCTGATAAATGGTGTGGAATACAATTTCTACATTACATGTACTACTTACAGTTTTACTCCAGATGTAAACCGAAACCCCAAAAAGCTCCTCAATATCAGCGTATGTAAATAAGGGAATGATGAGTTTGATATATAATGTATAAACAGAAATCATCAGGAATTTGTTCTAAACTGGAAAAAAAAAAAACTTGAAACACACAATCTATGGAAATATTCACATACCTCCTACATGTGACCACTACTTATTATATAACACAGACAAGACTTATAATGCATAGGCGCATTTATATAGTGGATCTACAACCTTTTCAGATGTATTAATTACATTTAACTAACATTACCATTCTTATAAAATTTTTCATTTATGGCCTTTATATATATATTTCTATTTCTTGAGTACAGTGCAGTACACTATTACACAACATTTCCAGCACTATAACGTGATGGTTTTGTGAGATTTTATGTTGCAATTACCACACGTATATGACTAACATGAAGGCAATTTTCACTGTCCAATAACTGAACTAAAAATACAGTGCCTGTAATTGACCTGCAATTTAATTCAAGACTTCATTTTTGGCAAACTTAAAACACTGCTAGACGACTAAAATATGAGATATTTATCATAAAATTAATATAAATTTAAATTTTTTGTTCAAATAAATACATTAATAAACCTTAGTCTAAATTAAAAACAGTGCTGTATAACAGCTAATTTAGTATACATAGTCAATTATTCAATGGATCATCAGGAAATTCCTAACAAATTGACAATAAAAAATTATTATCAGTTTAGATAAAAAAATACTGTACTCACAGTTATAACTACTGGCTAATGCCTACCTTAATCAGTCCACCAAGCTTATAACTGTCACCTGAAATTTCTGGCAACAATATTCAATTAACAATAAGATCCTTACCTATCAGTATTGAAAAGCATGGTATGAAGCCAAAGCCAAAATTAAAAACTTATACAGTTCTTCCAATTTTATCATGATTTCAAACATTTCTATCACATTAAAAACACCAGAGTTTCTTTTTTTACCACAGCATTGTATAAGTGACAATACAGACTCAAGATTCACTCTGTTTAACTAATCTGGGAATTTTAGATTTCTTGGGAGTTGATGTTGTTATATCATCATCATCATGAGAGAGATCAGATGTGGAGGAACAAGATGATAAGTCATCCTCTGTAGAATCTGGAGTATCTTGAAGGAGGTTAATAGGCACTTCTGCAATGTGAGAATTATTAGGATTAGGTTCACAGCCATCTGCATCATTCACCAGTGTTGAAGTTGGAACATCTGAGGATACAACAGGTGCAAGCTCTTGGTGGACAGCAGTTGGTACATGGACTTCCTCCTCCCTTAACTCTGCCTCAGCTTCTGCTCCTTCAGATTCTGTCTCTGAATCCCCTGAATTCGACTCTTGCTTTGAAATGTTGGTCGAGTCAGGTGTCTGAGAACACAAGTCGTCAGATGTCGTGACTGCGGCTGGTAAGGTAGAAGCTGATGTCGTGTCTTTTACAGGTGGTGAAGGATGCTTTGAGGATGAATCGGGTTCATTTTCTGAGGAGTCAGGATTTAGTGACTTTATCTCATTGTCTTCATTTACACTATCATCTGTTTCAGTCGTTTCTGGTAATAAAGACGATTCAACCTCTTTCTGAGCATCTTCGTCATCAGAGCTCTCCAATTCCTGATGGTCTGAATCAACAGGTGAATCTACTTCAGAAATAACTGAGTATTTTGTTACCTCAGGCTCCATAGTACAACTAACTTCATCTGCAAGAACAACTGAGGTAGATGGGGCAGAAGGGCCTGAAGCAAACGAGTATTCAGTAACTTCTGGCTCACTGCTGTCCGTCCCAGTACTTTCTGTTTCAGTATCTACACTGCCCTCTTCTTTAATAACTGGCAAAGGACTGCCGTCTCCATCAACTGCATCCAAATCATACTCCTCATCAGAATCAGGAATATATGCTTCCAAAGGAATATCAGAAACATCTAGAGGAATATCAGAAACATCTAGAGGAATATCAGAAACATCTAGAGGAATATCATGTGAAGCCTCCAAAGGAATATCTGATGAAGCCTTCAGAGGAATATGTGATGAAGCCTCAAGAGGACTATCTGCTAAAGATTCATGAGGAACCTCAGATGCATGTACATCACTATCAAACTGAACTTCTGAGGGGGTATTCAATGCAGACTCAACAGGAACATTATTATCCTCTGGAGCAGTATCAACTGGAACCTCTATGGGAGCATCTACAACCATAACTGGTTCACTAATGTCAATAACATGTGGTTGACTTTCAGCATCATCTACACAGGAAGGTGTGGGTGCTACTGGGATAACCTCCTCAGGTAAATCACTTTTACTGGATTCTGTGTAAGGAGGTACAGCTTCTTCAGATGATACACTGGACTCAGATTGAGCCCTGGAATTTTCGAGAGGTTTGCTGGTTTCCAAATACACTACTGGGGGGTATACAACTTCCTCTTGAGGTACCTTTTCAGGGACCTCTTCACATATTTCGGAAGATTCTACTACTTCAGTTTCAGGAACTTTGTCATCCTCTGTTACTGGCTCAGGTATATTTTCAGAAGCTTTTGCCTCAATAGGGGACTCTTCTGTCAAACTGTCTTGTGGAAGAGGATTAAAATCTGATTCTGGTTGCGAGATACTTTCATCACTGACAGTTTCCATTGGCTCATCAGATATCAACTCATTAACAGGCTCTGATTTTTTTGTATCTTGAACAGGCTGAAGCTGTTCAACATCTTCCTTCATGAGCTGAGGAGAAGGTTCATCAATTGGCAATTCTTGAGGCACTGATTCAGCAGCCTTACTCACGGGTATAACATTTTCCTTCCAGCCATAATCAGTTGCAGGATGAGGGGCAACAGTAATCTTTGGCTCAGTTGGTTGAGGGGCAACAGTAACCTTTGGCTCAGTTGGTTGAGGTGCAGTGGCTGGCGGTGTGGAATCCAACATAGTAGTAGGCTGTGGATTTTCAGGTTGGATTATTGGCAGTACAGGTTCAGGTGTGGGCGGAGTAACTGCCATGAGGGGTGGAACAGATACAGGGTCATTTTGAGACTGACTACCTTTAAAGGGAGGAGTGTTGGCAATGGGTTCCTCATTTAAGGATGAAACTGAAGATTCTTTTTGAGGGAGGGATGATGATAGCTTAGGGCAGTGTTCTGGATCAAGGCTTGTGAGTTTAGGACAGTGTTCAGGATCAAGGCTGTCATCATGGGGAACACATTCCTGCATCAATAAGCCATCTTCTTCATCACTGAGGGTTACAGGTTTTTTAACAAGTGGAACTGGAATGTACACAGGTACTGGAGGATGGCCTTCACCCTCTGGATTACCCTGCACAATGGGCCTGACATTTTGTGGTGGACGATTATCGGGAGGAATCTCCTGGAGAACGACAGCAGCCGGGGCAATAAAACCTAGAGGAGCAACATGATTCAAGACTGGGGCAGTTTCTTTCTCATGCATAATTTTGGCTGGTGGAACTTTATCCTCAATTGGAACAAGAACATCATCCTTCACCTTAGGAGTTCCAGTGGATTTATCAGTACTGTCTGGGATATCAGAGGCTGGAGACTTTATATGACCATTGCCTATATCAGGTTCATCTAGAGATATTTTTTTAGTATCACTTTCTTCATCTACTGGAGCAGAAGCTTCCAAAGGAGCATCCTCAAGGTTACCATTTACATCAGGATCAGGGGTAATTAAGGGGCCATGTTCAGAATCAGTTGGGGGTTTGGATCGGAGTGGGCGAGCTCGAAGACATATGTAGGCATAGTAAATTCCCACTCCTAAGCCAATTAAGGCTAGAAGTAACACAAGCAACCCGGCTGCAGTTAGGCCACCACCTGCAACACAACAGAAACACTGCATTAACTTTAATATATGACAATGGATATATGAATAACAAAAACTGAATTAAAGTTATCCCGCATATGATACTCAGATTGTAATCCAAATTTAGGCACTCTTTACAGGATCTTCTTTAACATAACCCAAAACTCAAAGTGACACCCAATTTTAATCTGAAAATGAGTCAAGATCCTCAAAATATAACAACAGCTGAGCAAGGACATCTTTTTGCAATAAGAAAATCTAGGGAATATACTTTTGCTACAAAACAAAATAAAGACTCATAAGGAAAAATTTTGATTGACTTCAAGACATTTATTTTTTTGTTAATTTCATTTCAGTTGCCTATAATTGAGTCAAAGTAACACAAAAGAAAAACATCTACAATACTGTATTTCAGTTTTAAGTTGAACAACAAGATTTGAAAAAGTATAGGAGCCCATCTATTGAACTGTTGAGCTCATATAACTCCTAAAACAGAATATGAGTAAGATACAAGGGGTTTATTTCAGGTCACACATGCCTTTATGATATGATAAAACCACAGCCACAAGTAACAAAAAAAAAAAAAAAAAAAATCATCAGAAAAATAAAGGGCTCTGCTGCAATACCACTAGTACTATATTACTACATACAAGCTGTCAAACAGTAGTTTCTATTCATACTTCTAAGGATATTAATCACCCTTAGCCATGAAACTATAGCATGCAAAATTTTTTAGATAACCATATAAATATCAATATGAACATGCAATATAATGAATGGAAGAAGCCAATTTTCCCCACCATGTTTGAGTGGCAGCTTAATCAAGGGGCAACAGAGGAGAGTGGGGTGTGGATGTTGCTAGTAGAACTTGTTGAGGACGATGTACGTCACCAGCCATATGATGAACCCCAGGACAAAGATACCCAGAAGAACGAAGAACATTATCATCCATGGGTTCATATCTTCCTCTGGAATAAGGATATGGACCACGAGGATGACAGTGTGTGACTTTGGTGGACATCTGCAACTTGTTGCCAGTTGGGAGGTGGCAAGCTTAGTATTGTACAGTGTATACTGTACCACAATCATCAATGTCCTGAGACTGTATGGTAGCATATAAACTGTGTGGTGGTGTTATGATGGTGTGGTAGCACTTGATATGGTAGAATGCAGACTGTAGGATGAAATTTAATGGTATAGTGCATTACTGAATGTATAGTGGCCTGTTTTATGTTATGGTAAAATATTGATTGTATGGCAGACTGTACTGTACTTTGATGGAATAATAAAATAAGGATTGCATAACGGCATTTTGATGGTATGGTGGACTACTGTACTTATTGTATGGTAAGATTTTGATGGTATGGTGGACTACTGTACTTCTTGTATGGCAAGATTTTGATGGTATGGTGGACTACTGTACTTATTGTATGGTAAGATTTTGATGGCATGACAGAATAATGATTGTATGATGGCATTTCAATGTATGATATATAGTAATGCCGAGTCTCCTGAGACAACTTAATGGTATGACAAATTAGTGATACTAAAGCTGCATTTTGCTGATACGTATGTTGGAATTTTTATGGTTCTGTATAGCATAATAATAATCTTACGGAAACCAAATGTTCATTTTAAAATTTAGTTCAGTGTCGGGATTATTTATTCTTTTTCTAAATAATGGATTTGGAAGATAAGTTTATAGATATTTAAATGCCATACTGTACTGCACTTTAAAAGCTGAAATGCAAAATAATGTCAATTTCTTTATACAAAGAATTATTTTTGTTAGATTGATGGGTGTTCATACCACCACCTTTGTCATGATTCTTAATAACTTTCCAGAATGCCATGCGAGAATAAAGTGCCCAATAAAGTGGACTGCGGTGCAAGTACTGACAGGCGATCATGAACAAGTACCATGTCCTCACTTCATGTCAACAATGCATATCCAAGCTCTGTTATAGACAGCAAGCATAACTTAAGTAGTATTCCATACAGCAAGTTAGTTTCTAATAACTGTCTTGGTATAATTAAATCTTTGGTTGCTGACCTCATGTCCTTCAAGCTGCTCTTGAGTTGTCGAAGTGGATGCAGTGACAATCCCAATCAGTGTGAGAATCATAATAAAAAAATATTTTAAATGATACAGGCATACAATACTGCACTTTGATAACATGAAGCGGCAACCCTGAATCTGTACACTAAACAATACTTTTGTCAAAAATGAAGATCCCAAAATTTATTTGTTCAGTAATCACTTCACATGCACATTCCAGGCACCAATAACCTTCATCCCTAATTTCTGATAAACTTGTTGACTAATCTCTGATTGTTTACCTGTCAATCTCTCCCGCATAAAAAATATATAAATAAAATTAATAAAACTAAGATAAAAATAAATGATCCTATCATGAGCAAACTTTCAAACTAGTGGCCTTCATCAGAAAATTTTAGAAAAATTCACTGACCACTTTTTAAGATGCTACAGTATAACAATTTCATCTTTTGTGATTTTGACTTCTTATGTGCAACTTCTCTCTATGTCAATTTAGATATACTGTATGTACTGTACTGTACAGGTAGGTATACAGGGGGTCCCCAGGTTATGAACGGGTTCCGTTCCTGAGGACGTTCTTAAGTTGGAAATGTACTTAAGTCAGAACAAACGCAATGTGCATACCGTACTTACAGAACAATGTTTTATATATATATATATATATATATATATATATATATATATATATATATATATATATATATATATATATATATATATATATATATATATATATATATATATATATATATATACAGTATATATAAAACACTGCAGGCCACACACCACACATACTAATTTCTCTAAATCTTCTGCACTAGAAAAAAAGGTGATAATCCCTGCTCCACAAACAGGCTATGTTGAAGGAACTGTAAGTCACTGAATAGTGATATCTGACAGGAATACAGACACATATGAAACGTCACTGAATAGTGATACTGTATCTGACATGTATTGATAAATACTGATAACGAAACACGAATACAGTACTGTACTGGGTCTGGCTCAGTTATGGAAACTGATCATTTGCTGTTGAACCATTGATGAGGCTGTAAAATTTCTCTTGTATAGTACTGTACAACATTTCCAAATAAATACAGGGTATTAATACTGTACTGTACTGCCATAACCTCTATGGCCACAATCAAAATTACAATAACAAACATTGTATGATAAAGTCCCTACCCACAGAGATAAAAACTAGGGTAGGTCAAGTTTTATCATTAGCCATCATTCTGGACACAAACCATAAAATATTAAAGACATTTTAACTATTAAATAACCAGAGGAAAACAAGATTTTGCTGTATAAAAGAGCATGATGTCAATTGGTTTAAAAAAAACTTATTTTTAAATGCCACAAAACTGGTTTCCTACTGTATTTGTATGTACTGTAATATGCACACATTAACATGTACAGTTGCCAGCTAAAGTCCTCTCACAACTTGCTACACAGGGCTGTGGGAGAAGTTTTGCTGGCAACTGTACATTATACACCTGTCTCCCACAATATATCATACTTAATCATGTCAATATACTGTACTGTATTCAGTGCTATAATTTCTTCACCTATTGCATGGACAATAAGATAACAAATGTCTTCTCTTAGCATCCGTTTCTTGGTTGGAAAAAAAAAATATATTAGCAAGACAGCCAAGACTCAATATAAAAGCAGATCTTCCCCAGGAATAAAGAAAATACCCTAAATTGAAGTTATAAATGAAAAAGATGATGACTACACAAGCTCATCTGAAACGTTTCCACTCAAACGTGGAAGCCAAACCCCTCCCTCCATGATAACCATTCAGGGTTAATACAGAAATGTTTCCCCAGTGAAGGAGACAACAGGAGCAAATTTTTAACTTATCCCCAACAGGTTATTTGTTATGCATATAAGTTCCAGTTGTTTTTTTTAATTTATGTACAGTATACAGTACCATGAGGTGTGCAATACTGTACAAACTAAAAACTAAGTTTGTGTGTGACCTGTTGACCAATGTTACTACTGTATTCTGAGATGACACTGGTACGTTATATTATGAGACACTGTACTTGTTGTTTCTGCCATTATTATGCTGTTCTATATTTTGGCGATAACATTAACAATCGGTAAAATCTAAATTAAGCAATACCTTGCTGAACAAGTATCATAAATTGTATCATTCCTCCCTTGGCTATATATTTTTTAAAAAAGATACAAACGATTATTTCCAATAAACATGAGAAAATGGGGGTGGGGATAAAGATATGATGCCCTTCTTCGCACAGTGAGGGTGGGGCACATTCCCATCCCCTCATGGTTTACGACTCAGCCCATTCTGCAAACATACTGTTCATTACAGTATTGATTTTGTCTTTAACACCCATACTAGTACGGATAAACCCCATTTCGTCACCAACCCGGTTCGTCACAAAAAAAAAAAAACACATTTCGTCACCAATATCAAATCCGCTTCGTCACCACTGGTATTAGAGTGACAAATTGTAAGTTATTGTTTTACACGAATAGATATTACACATGTATACAGTCGACTAGAGAATTAATGTCATTATTATCCATGAATATTTATTATTTGATAAAGAAAACGATTAAAACATTGGTAAATACATAAAAATACAAAAACAAATGAAGAATTACTGTTATTATTCTACATGAATATTAATTATTTAATAAAGAAAACGATTAAAACATTGGTAAATAAACAAAATACTGTACAGAACAAATGAAGGTGATCCGACACCAGCACATAAACCACCGAGCAGCAAAGAACAATCTCTCTCTATACCTCCTTGTCCCTCTTCTTCACAGAGAAGCCTCAGTGGTTGATTTGCAATTACAACTAGACAAGTTGAACTAGTTGATGAGTACAAGTTAAAATCATACACAAGAGAAGCAAATCATGACAAACAAGCCCGTCCCTGGAAGCTGTGGGATGAATATGAAGAAAAAAAA